ACGCCCACACCCCACACCCACGCCCACACCCCACACCCACACCCACATCCACACCCACCCACACTCACCGGCACCCACCCGCACTCATACCCACGCACCCATATCCACACCCACACCCACCCCCACACCCACCCCCACACCCACCCACACCTCACACCTATAACCCACGCCCATACCCACACTCATCCGCTGTCGAATTACTAATCGACTTTGCAGTCCACCCCGAAAATTTGAACTCTTACACAATACAGAATTGTCGAGATTTACTCGTCGCAATTGCTTGCGCACGTACTTATGGCACGGAATATCCATTATACACGCGCCTTGATGGCGTAGGCCACATCTTGCATGACCGAAACCCCGTATTGGTCGATTTTGCCCCTAGCCATTCATGAGATTCTGAATGCTAGGATCCCATAAAATGTTTTCTTTACTAGCTATGTCTGACAAGTTTTTTTTATATGATGAAAAATACGAAAATCACATAGCTTGCAAGACAAAAATTGAAAAATGTGTTCTGCTTTACTCCGCTAGACTCTATTGTTTTTTCAAAATAAAATCGGTTATTCTTATCATAAATTTGTTTAATATCAATTAATCGTTGTTGATGCATATGATAATAAACATTCATCCAATTCGATACATCTCTATCAATGTAATTAATATACGAATATTTTGTTGAATCATTATAGATAGACAAATATACTTGATTTAACAAATTCAATTGTTCCTTTTCATCTTGTTCATCATTCCAAAAAATCATAAACTGAATGCCAAATTTATAATGTCTATGTGGAAATGCTGTCTTATTGACTGGAACTCTACTTAAATATCCATCCCAAGGACTAAATTCGAGATAAATTTGACCATCACCTAATGCTAATCGATCAATAAATTGATCAAGACTATGATCACTTATCGGTTGATCATAAAATAAATGTTTGGCTTTAAAATAAGATGTTGGATATGTTAAATTCTCAAGTAATAATTGTTGAGGATTACCACCAGCATTAACCGTTGATCTTTCATAAACAAAAGTTAACCAATCTCGTTGATGTACATTAATTTGATTGGAAGTTGGTAATGTTGCTAATAATAACGATATAGTTTTATTAAGCTCTTCTAATTCGATACCAAAATATATTATTAAAATTTCAACATAAAAATTATTCACATTCATTGACACAAATATATTGTCGCTTAAATTCAATGTTTTGTCATCAAATAACAATGATTGATATCGTTGCATTACTAATTTTGTTGCATTCGAATACCAGATAGCTGAAAAACTCGTGACGAGTGACGGAGATTTAACTAGTCGAAATTTAAATTCTGTTACAATAACAAACAAACCTCCGCCAGCACCACGTAATGCCCAATATAATTCGGATTCATGAGTTTCATTTATTGTCAATAGTTCACCTAAAAGACATATTTGTTATACATTTGTCAACGAACATAAAGAAATATACATTTAGCTACTCGTCAAGTTCGTATGACAGGCGTTTAATCAAGCCATTTGCTAGACAAGTAATACATTGTATACATATGTCATTTTCACAGCTTACGCGTTTAGGCTAGACAAATCTGAGAGTTCGAATTCAGACAAAATTTAGATCCATTCGATTTATGCTTGCTATTAAACTAAAATAGAGTAGTGAAGTCGGTCCAAATAATCTCTAAATTATCATCAATTTGGAACACATCTTAACTGGGTGGCTTCATTGAAATACATCGGAGTTTTTTCCTGATTCAGGGCGATTCTGATAAATTAGGAAAATTCGACCATATTTCAGCTAGAGTTGTAACAAATGTCGAGAACAACAATTTAAACATTGCAACATCTATCTATAAAATTGGTGTGAACATTTTGTGGAACTCACATATATTTTCGAAGAAAATAGTGAGTGTAAATTTTAAGGTCAAGTTTTCCGACTCCCCCCTCCCCATTACAGACACTTAGCAACGGAGGCCCCATTACAGACCCCCCCTCACATTACAGACATCTCTCCCATTATAGACACCCCCTCCCCCAACCCCACATTACAGACATCCCTGCCATTACAGACACCCCCCCCCCTTATTACAGGCGTTAGCAATCGAGAATAGCATGCGTGAGATTTTCTAGAGTTGTTTTTGCAAAATTAATCAAGTTATAATTTTGAAAAATAATGAATATCATTATTTGTGAGTTGATTAATATATATGATAGTGCGTAAGATCTGCTGTAGATATCATGAATACGTAAAACAGACTTATTTGTCAATTAGTTCAATGATTGTAATAATAAGAATGTTAAATTAAGAAAAACGAATAAAAAAATGAAAAATAATGAGTGAATAGCAACAATGCAAACAGAAAATAGGGCGCCCGTAGAAAAAAAATTCTCTTCGAAATGCAGAAATTAGAAAGGTTCTTACTCTGATGTTCGATTATCGTGAAAAACAACTGTAGTCTACGAGTAGGGATGCACCAGTGACGGTTCACCGTTCACCGGTCCACCGTAGGACCGGTGCCACCTCCCACCGGGTCACCGATTGGCACGGTGAATCGGTGGACCGGTGAAACCGGTGAACGGTGAACTGATGGATCTGTGAGACTGGTGGACCGTGAACCGGTGGACCGGTGAGACCAGTGAATGGTGCACTGGTGGTACGGTGGAACGGTGAGACCGGTGCACCGGTCACTTTTGTGTATTTCTGTGTCTGTTTTACGCGATACATCTCAGAAACTCGAGCACTTAATTTTCTGATAAGAAGTGATCTCTTGTCCTAATTAATTTTGGCAAATACTCATCATAACTTCGAAGTAAAGCAGAGAATCAAGCCGGTAAGGTTATAAAAAGCCCTAAGAAAGACCGGCGTACTAATACCGCTGGATGCATTGAGTCTCATGTTGTTTGAGTAATAACGAAAACCGGTCATCACCGTAGATTTTCGCAGTTCTAAATGAACAGTATTGATAATAGCTAGAAATACAAAGGTAGAGTTCATTCACCGATTAACCGTCGTCGTTTCGCCAGTCCAAACCGATAACCATACCGACGGTTACCGGTACAACTACAATCATTGTACCTACGTTTTTCGATCCAACCACGATAACTGCACATATTGCTACTGATCCAATTAATATCACTGTACCTACGGTTACCGATCTAATTACCATCACCGTGAGTACAGTTATCAATCTAATTACCATCAGTGAGTACGGTTATCAATCCAACTACGATAGCCATAGCTATGCTTACCCGTGTAACTACTATCACCGAAGTTACGGTTACCTGTCTAGCTACGATTACCGTAGGTACAGCTATCGGTCCAACTACGGTAAACGTACCTACGGTTACCAGCCCAACTACGATAACCGTGTTGATGGTTACCATCGAGATTATATAACAATACCTACGGTCACCGGTCTAACTACGATAGGTATGCCTACGGATACCGGTCTAAGTACGATAACTGTATCTACCGTTAGTGGCCAAACTACGAGTATCGTAGGTACGGCTGCTGGCCCGACTGCGATAACCGCACCTACAGTTACCGGTTCAACTACGACCATCTTAGGTACAGTTATCTGGTCAAATCTGTTGTCATGAAAAACAGCAATTTTAAAAAAGTAATGATTTTTATGTAGGTTGACGGAGTAAATCGGAGCTGGAAAGTCTGAATTCGAAATCAGGCTTTGAAAATTTTGAGCTGAAGGTTTTAGGTTAACGGGATGTTTATTATGAAAGCAACTATTTCCTTGATAGGCTGACGAAAGGAAATGCAACTTGACGCATTCGACTCTAATACTTAGAAAAACTATAACATTCAGCAAGAAATCTTTTCTTTGATAATTGAAATGGAGAGCTTTGAAAAATTGATATCAGATTCGAGTCCCTGGAAACCGATTTACTTTCGTTACTCTTTATTAAATATCAGCATCTTCTTAAAAACCCTTCCCTTAGCGTAAAAAGTCAAGTTTAACATTTTCAAAATTTGATTTCAGATTCAGATTTTTCGACCCTGATCATCTTTCGTCAGCCTTCATAGGAAATCGTTAGTGTCTTAGAAAATACTGTGTTTTACGAAAGCCTTCTAGAACTGATAACTGTACCTATGATTATCATAATTCGTCCAGAAACCGTACCTACGGTTTTCTTAGTGCACCAATAACCGTACCCATGGTTATCGTAGTGAACCCGTAACCACAGCTACGGTTATCGTCATCGTTGCATTGCTAATATTAATGATGATAGTCGAAGCTATACTCCTTACTACACGGCGCTATGACACATGAAGCGTTTCTTTCATACCTGATTACCGTGATTCGGCTAAGAAAAGGGTCAGTGGAACCATGAAAACTTATGCCAATCTCCGATGTAACAGCATCAGTGATTGATGCAAGCATGCAGGTGTCTGAAAAATGGTCAAACTCGATCATCTCAGTAGGCTCCTAATATTCTAACCTGCCGTATTCTCCTTAACCTTGAGGGTTGAAACTGTATTCTTGATTTGAGAGTATGGTCGCATACGAGATTCACTTTTGCGCACGAATATAATCACCAGGCTAACGACATTGTCGGTGTAAAAATGAAAACCTACGGTGATGGCTGCTAGACAGACATCGCTGGTTATATTGAACCTCAACTAGTCCGTAAAATTCTATAAATCGGCTATAACGGTAGGTTCCCGCTCTCTAATTACCACTGTTAGCTTTCATGTTGACAGTCAAAATTGTATAGCTGAGTGCACGACAAGACTGATGATGAAAACTCTTTTCTCAGACGGGTGCGACTACAAAGCTAATAATACGATCAACAAGATCACGAAAACCTACGGTGATGATGACTAGATGGGCACTGCTGGTTACGCTGAGCCTCGATGAATCTGTAAAATGCTAGAAACCGCCTATGACCGTAGGTTTCCGCTCTCGTAGCCGGCATTATTAGACTACATGTTGACGCTTAAAGATATATAATTTACAGCGATTTATTATTGTAGATGAAAGTATTTTCCTAAACCAGCGTGATGGCGATGCCAGTTATAGGACCGATATTGTCACAGAAACCTACGGCGATGGCGGCTATAAGGGCATTACCTACTACCCTGAGTATCAATGAGCTTGTCAAATGCTGCAAACCGGTCATCGCCCTAGATTCCTGCTCTCTAACCAGCATTTTAAACTTTCATGATGATTTACAGAACGACATATTTGAGTACACGACGAAACGGTAGATGAAAAGTTTTCCCAGAGACTGTCTACGAAGCTAGTTATACGACCGATAGATTCACGAAAACATACGGTGATGACGACTAGATTGGCATCACTGGTTGCTCTGAGCTTCAATGAGTCTGTGAAATACTAGAAGCTACCTGCCACCGTAGGTCTACGCTCTCCGAACCTGCATGATTAGGGTTAATGGTAATGCTTAAAAAGATATAATTTAGATCTATTCACTGCAATAGATGAAAGTTTTCTTCCTCGATGAATGTGATGATCATGCCGGTTATGGGACCGATAGGACCAAGAAAACTTACGGTGATGGCCATTAAATGCTCACTGCTGGTTATCCTGAGATTCAATGAGTCGGTAGAATTCAATAAACCGGCGATCACAGTAGGTTGCTGACGTCCTACAGGTATTGTTGACCTTAAAGGTGTTTGTTGATACCGCATACCTAAGTTTTTTGTATAAGCATCTTTTATATTCAGATAGCCTCACACTAACAAATTTCAGTTATATGAGCACACTGATGTTGTCCGTCGTATGCCTACAGTCAGTAGCATATTCATGGAGTGGTCAGTATATGGATACATCTTATTAAATTTGTGAAATATGATTATAAATCACAGGAAGTAGATGGATACCAATTAAATGTGCACTTCTCGATTATGGGATGATTAGCTTCACTTTTGATAGGAATCAGTTGAACCTAAGTAGCTTTATTTCTAATACATTGTGACCGGTGCTTACGGTGCCCGTGTACTGGTGGAACGGTGAACGGTGCACCACTACTACGGTGACCGGTAGACCGGTGGCACCGGTTGGTACGGTGAACTGGTGGACCGGTGACACCGGTGCTACGGTGAACCGGCGGACCGATGAGGCCGGTGAACGGTGAACCGTTGACCGATCACACCGGTGGCCACCGTCATCGTTGCATCCCTATCTACGAGAGATTTTTCATTTTACATATTTTTTGTATTAGTTTAATGATGCTAGAGAACATATGTGAGTTCCACGTTTCAGCCCCAAAGGAGCTGCGCTTACTTTTGAATTTCAATGGAAGAGTATCATAATCTAATCCAACAATGAAGAGAGCTGAGAAAATAATCTTTCTGAGGAGTCAGAAAAGAGTTACTTTAGTTGAGGTTGACAAGATGAAAGCTATAATTAAGTAAGGTAAACTAGCATATAACAATATAAGTTAACAAAGATAGCATCGGCTTAAGAAAATTAAGCTAAGATAGATCAAGCGAAGAGAACTCTAAGATAAGATATTTGAGTTTTAAACCGTCAAACATCTTTTTATACAGGATCAATATGATATGCGAAATATATATACTCGAAAACCTACATCAAATGATATATAATATATGTTTCCAAAAAAAAAATCAGATTTTCACTCATCAAGCAAAAAATTTACGCGAAAACGAGTTCTCAACATGCCAGATTTGAATCAGAGACCGAATAGAACCGAGTTTTACGTGTCCGGGTTCGGTTCGGATCGAGTCGAACCGAACCGAACCGAACCATTATAGTTCGGTTCGGTTCATTTTCAGTCCTTCATAGGCATGGTATTTTCCTCTTAATTTAATCTACACTCAAATTCTTGCTAATTTAAATTTATTTTAAATTAAATTTTTTAGAATTTACTTCTTAATTTAATAAATTTTTGTAAATCTAAATTCATCAAGTCGATTGTCAAAATGCATGACTTTAAAAAAATAGATCAGAAATAAGGAGAGAAACTGGTATTATAAGTTAAAATCCTATCATCATCTCCGAAGATTTCTTAAAAAAGCAGCCATCCGCAGTTCCTATTATTTTCTAATGATGCTAAAAAAGCCTCATAAACATATCTTTGATAGCAGACTTGAGAGATAAAAGGTTTCTTTTATTCCTATACACAACCATACAAATTCAAATTTTACTTAAATTAATTAAAATGGAACTTAAACTACTTTGAACATATTTAGATGTAGCTCAGATCTATTTAAAGTTTTTTAAATTTATGCAAATTCGATTTAAATTTAAAATAAATTTAAATTCTTATGCGAAATAATTTTAAATTTATTTTAAATTTAATTCATTAACAGTTTATTTCTGATTTTAATAAATTTTTGTAAATGTAGATTGATCACTACTAGTCCCTCATGTAAAACGATAAATCAAACGTCCTTTGACAATCACCAACAGCATAAAAATTTCACAAAAAATATTATAGCTGAGTCAATTATTTTTCTTATGTGCTTGTCGATATTCATTCGCTTTTCAAAAATTAGTAAGATTTGGTTCAGTTCGATGTCAGTTTTTCTGAGAAGTGGTTCGAGTTCGGTTCGGTTCGGATTCATTTTTCAAGAATTAGTTCGGGTTCGGTTCGGTTTGACTCCGTTTTTGAAAGAGCGGTTCGGGTTCCGTTCGGTTCGAGTGCATTTAAAAAAAACGGTTCGGGTTCGGTTCGAGTCGAACCGAACCGAACCGTTATAGTTCGGCTGGGTTCGGTTCGCTTTCGGTCTCTGATTTGAATATCGTAGTTTTCCTGCTGGAATCATCGCGCATAAAAAACGAGTAGCTTTCACATGCTGTCATTTTGGTTTCTTTTTAAGATAGATGATATAACTAAAATATATTTACCTTGAGCATTAACGGCTTTCATTTCCAAGATGTTATCGGATAGTAATCCATATAATCGAGCGAGAAAACCTTGGCCACCACCAAGTGCATGACCAGCAAGTCCTACCCATGCACAAGTTCCAGCGTTAATTGTATATTCATTGTATTGATATGTTGTGTAATAGATTGGACCGAGTCTTGCGCCAGCTCCAAATATACCAGTTCTATCACGTTCATTAACATAAATATAATTGATTGCTTCCATGTTAATAATAATGTTGTTGTACATTGAACCTAAGCCATAGCCTTCATAACTATGACCTCCACTTAATGCATTCACTGTGTAATTTAATTTTGTTGCACATTGTACCACGTTTTGTACATCGCTACTCTTCGTTGCATACACAATAACAGCAGGTGAATGAGAAATTTGACCTCCGCGAACACTTGACAAGTCACTAACGTTGAAATGATCACATTGATATCGAGAACTATTTTGATTTGTTAAAGTGTTACATGGATAAACAGTGCGTACTGATAATGGCAATGACGATGAAAGGCATGCTTGTAAATCATTATTGTTTGTTCTTGCAAATTGGTAATTAGCATGACGATTTGCTATAGTAAAACTAATTTGAAAAGCATAGACTAACAAAATAAAGGACTTATTTAAATCGTATTTAACCATTATAGTCTAGAAAAGTAAATCGCTTCCAGGTTGTATATTTTTGTCCCACAACATTCAAAGATGCAAAAGAATGAACTGGCTAATAAACTCGACTGTCGTTAATACTGTGAGTTAATGACCTTGGATGTGGGTGTGGTTGTGGGTCAGAGATGGGAACGGTTCGGTTCTTAGTAAAATTAATGCAGTTTAGATCAATGTGAAGATATGTAGAGAAAGAACAATAAAAAAAATGTCGTCTATAGCAATGGAAGTATTTATATAATTCTCTTTTTGTGTTCTTATCGATTCTAAGAAAACAACATCGACAATAAAGCAATTATATTTTTATTTCAGAAGAAATATTTCCGTATTTCAGTATTAGTTCAGTATATTCAGTGGCGAATCAAAGATTTTTATGACATAAGACGATTCGGTGTTGATGAGGAACGATTCGACAAAGATGGAGGCGATCATGATCATGAAAAGTGTTTTGAAGCTCTTTAGAGTTAGTAAGAGTTCATCTTGCAGCCGTTTCTACTACAAAAAAAACGAAATTTTTTTCTCGATATGGGAAGATCGTTCCAAACAGGATTGGCACCTCTTCCGCTTTTTGCGAAAAGTTTCCACTTTTTTGTAGAAAAGACTTTCATTTCGTTGATGAAAACTCGGCACAGAAGAAAACCTGTTATTATTGAATAAATCGTTATCACCAACGTGTGTAGTTTGTCAACACAGTTACTACTCGATCTGTTAACTAGCTGAAACAACATCCAAGTTTTTGCTATAAAGAGAGACTACTCCCAACGTCTATTGATGAAGTAAAAGTACCATTTTTCTTTCAACTGATAGCTAACTCTGTTGACTCATTTGTTTTCCGCGCTTTATTTACACACAAAACGAGCACAAATCCGAAAATTTAAACAACTTCTTTGTAACCAATATAATGAGATAATAACTGAAGATGAAAACCATCATGCAAATTCGAAAACAATAACATTAATACTACACTCAGGTGAAAATAAAGCTGCATAAGTCTCAATAGATGGGTGTGGGTGCGGAAATCATCTTAATCCCCATCTACAACTATACCATGAAACTATTAAAAATTCTAAAAGCCAGCAAAAATAGGTTTCCACTTTTTTCCGCTTTACCAGATTTTGTTTACGCATTTTTTCTACCGTCTTTCCAATTTTTCGACTTCGTGAGGAGGTACTCCTGGCCCACAACCCCTTCTCAATTCGCCACTGACTATATCGAATTCAATACAAAATGAATATTTCTTCCTTATTAAATATACACATACACGGTGTGGGTGTGGGTGTGAGTGTGGGTGTGAGTGTGGGTATGGTTGTACATGTTGCCTTTATCGCACACCCAAAAGGTAGCTTCTATAGAAGAACAATTGTTCATATCTAGTTTAGATTTTCGAAGAATGTTGATCGTAAGTACCCATGCTCGAATCTCCTTCTCCGCTTTTTTCGACACGTTTCGACGGCTCCAGAATGAGGCATCTATAGGAAAAAATCCTTTTTCTTTTTATCTAATTTTGATCCCCTTCGTAAAAATCGTTCGGCTGCTCGAAAGCTCAGCGTTTTACTGACCTATCGGTGAGTCCTCAATCTATCGGAAAGTGAAGATCCGAGGGGTACGTTTGAAATTTCGATGCCCACAGCAACCTTAAATTGACGCTTCGAAATGTCTATCAGATGGCCGGTTGGGGAATGTCAGTGTCGGTGTGGGTGAGTGTGGGTGCGGGTGAAGTGTGGGTGTAGCTGTGGGTATGCGTGTGACGCTTGCATCTTCTCTTCATCCACACCGACAGTCCCACCCACTCACAGCAACCTCCACACCCTCGCGCACACCCACACACCCCACACACGCCCTCAAGGTTGAAGTAGTTGGCAAGCTATGTTGTAGATAGCTCATACCATATCTCTATCTCGCTTCGATTCAGATCCATAGCTCTAAAAATTTGAGCACAAACTCATGGTTCCATGGCAACTTCTTAGTAAAATTTTCAAGTAAATTGATCGAATCTATCTCAAGTTTGATGTGTCTGACTGACAACTAACGTTTTCGCTCTGGCAGAAGTTTTCATTGCAAAGATCGTATGTAAGTCATTTGAAAGTAGTGTCTTACCAAACTTGAATTTGGGATAGCTATGACATTGAGCTTTCGAATGACAAATAGCGTAAAAATAGAGGTGAAAAAACGGCTGAAACATATGGATTACAAGGCAAATATCTTGTTCAATTCATAACTTCAATATGTCTTAGTCTATTGAGGTCAGGTTAGTGCTTGCAATCAGGGTTTGTCGAGGTTCACATACATCCAAAATATGAGCCCAAAATCATGAAAAATAGTACCCGTTTAGGGAAAGCGATTACTTTTGTCCAGGACTGTATATCATTTTATGATATAAGATTTTACGAAACCGTCCGGGAGCACCCAATGCATAAAAAAAATATCGTACTATTTAGAAAACTCACGATCGGGGTCAACATCTCGTATATGATATTGCGAACAAAATTAAAGGCTACAAAATGACTGACTACATTCTTTTACGACATGAAGAGAGCTACCCACTATGCTAATAATCATATCAAACTCTCACGGGGAAAAATTTTATGGTTGTACAACTGCTCCTTGTTTATGATACAGTAATATGTAGCTGCAGTATTGTAATGATAGCGATTGTCTCCCCTTTTTCTTTCCTCTCGTTTGTTCGTTTGTTCTTTCTCTCTCTATCATTTCTTTTACTCATATTTCTCTTTTTCTGTCCCCCTCCTATATCATCATGTGTTGCATGCCCTATAAAAAAAATTTACAAAACAGAGTTTCAATGCCTACATAAAAAAATGCTATTTTTGCGTTGAAATGTATCGTTTTTTTATTTCAACATATCTAGATGAATCCGAGGGGGAAACAACTGAGACTTCTGTTGTGAAGTTCCATGAAGTCTTGAAAATCTTTCTAAGTTTTCTAAAGTCTGCTGAAGTCTTTAGAAGTCTTCTGAAGTCTCTTAAAGTTCTGTGAAGTCTTCTGAAATATTTTACATACATTTAGTGAATGGAAAAGTCATAAGAAAAAAAATGAAACTACTTGGTTTTCGATGATCTTACTTTAGCAGAAATGTGAACTTTTATAGTTTTGTCAATCTGCTGATAAAATCTGAGCTCTTTTAGACTATAAAAACATCATAGTTAAGAACTCAAGGTTTTATGACATTGTTAGTGGAGCGGTTGTGGCTGCGGCTGCGGCTGAATCGACTATCCATATCGACGTCAACACTCAACATCACTCTTTTCAGAAGGAAAACAGTGATTTGTAAGTTTCAATGAGTTGCGTGAATTAGGATAAATTAGGATGAGTTTGAGAAAATGAAAAATCGCCGAGAAAATGAGTGGAGACCACTAAAAATCACGGATAACCACTCTAACTCACTGAAACGCAGCCGATTTTTGATGATTTTCGACTGACTTTGGAATTAATTAAGTCACCTGTTTCTCTTTTGACGCTTTCACATCTACATCCACCTCCCACATCCACCTACAGGCGATTTCTAAGGTTTCTCCAACACTGATGTAGTCTTGAAGTCTCCTGAAATATATTGAACTCTTATGAAGTTTTATGAAGTCTCTTGAAGTCTTGAAGTCCGCTGTTTCCCCTGAGAATGAATCTTACCTGTTTTATTTGAAAGGCCTTTTTCAACTTGAAATGCCATCGAAAAATACCTTTTGGAAGTGCTCATGAGAGAACGGGGTTTTTCTCTCCAATCAACGGTGTTTATGACATTGTTCGAATGGGTTTGCTTTTATGCGTTTGAAGCGTTTATTTTGCATGGATTTAAACGCATTTGTTTGGTGTTCGTTTAGCAAAAACAACGAAAGTTTTTAGAAACGCGTTAGAATGCAAAATTAATAATGGTTTTTTTTCTGGAAAACATAAGCTATTTCGGCAATAAAGTAAATGAATATGTGGATTCATACTTTGAGTAAAACAGCCGTTTTATTAAATAAAAACCTGCCAACATACGGATGAAAATTTCGTAATATCACGCTCAAAAATATATCGCTTAAAAGGAGCTGTTCTCGAGATAAATTTTACCACTATATCAAAGTAGTATGTACTTGAATATTGAGAAACGAAGAAATAGTTGTGTAACAAATATGACAAGCACAAATGAATAGAACGAGTTTATCTTGATTAAATGTCTTTTGAGAAAGTTGGTAAAAATATGGATAACATAATGCCGAAGTGAGAACTCAGTCAAATTTTTTCCATGTAATGATTAATCATAAAGTAATTTTCTAAAAGTCTTAAAAGAATTTCTAATTATCCATAATTAAAGCATTGCCTACATTTATCATATTTTCGATTCATTGAAGGATATTGTTTTTAAAGAGAAAAAAGAATGCATGTTTGTTTTATGCCATTATAATACTTTACACGAATTCTAGCCAAGCTGCTATTGTTGCCATCATTGAGTTCTTGTATAAGTCACTCAGGGAGGTTACTTACTTAATTTTGAGTAAAACTTCGAAAATTTTTATACTCTATTCATTCAACGAAAAACGCACTTAAACATGAATTGCTTTCGTTCTCTCCAAACACAATTTACGGCCAATATCGATAACAGCCATCTTCATTTTTATTGCCACTTTTGCTTTATTTCTTTATCATTGTTACTATGCTCTGTTTCTTTAGCAATGAAATTGATGTATCCTGAAAATATTTATTTACTTCTCTCTTCTTTTCATATCTCTTATCTCGAATTGACGAATTTATAGTACTATTATAAAACTGCGCTGAAAAAAAACGGGCACACCATTACTTTCATTAGACAAAAATATTTTATAGAAAGAGTATAAGTGTTGTGGGGTGTTGATGTAGGTGGGTGTGGTTGGATGTGGGTGTAGGTGTGAGGTGTGGGATGTAGGGAGTGGGTGTGGGATGTGGGATGTAGGGAGTGGGTGTGGGGTGTGGCTATGGGTGCCGGTGGGTGTGGGTGCGGGTTTGTG